TCGTGGCTACGATTTTCCCTTCCCCAAGAATTCTTTGAGTATCTGATGAAATGAAGGATCGATATCAACTAGGTGCACGCGAATGTGGTATATCGTCCTTGCTCTTTGATCATTATGTTCATCAAGAAGGGATGGTTGGCTCCGATCGTGGATGAGTTGGACTCCATATATATGTGGATGATGACAAAGGGGTGATCGTGGTATTTTCACTTGGCTCCATGTGAAGACAAATGCATCGATCTAGTGAAAGAAATACCCGAGTCTCGTCACAAATGGAAGCAAGAGTGGTTATGGGTATGAAGGAATGGAAGACTCGTCATTCATCGGGTCATTTTGCATATGTACTGGCCTATTTTCTAGAGAGAACGCGTAATTCCTTCATCAGTATTTTATAAAATGAAAGGGCTTCTACATTGCGTAGGGTAAAAAATTTAATTTCTTGTTTAGTAGATAAAATTGTGCCTCCCATGGATTTGGGCTTCAAGGAAAAATTGGAGAAGATTCTGGAATTGACAATTCTCATATTTGTTGGCCATTGTGCGAGAGCGAGGTCAAGGCTAATTTGCACCCGGGGATTGACGATACGCTGATTGGGCTAGGTAATCCTTCAAGATTACGTATTTTGTTGATATTTTGCTTGTGTTTTATATTTTTCCGATTTGCACTATTTTACCCGACGAGATGTGTCTTAGGTGTGTCTTTATAACACAGACAGAAAACCAAGAGGAGGATAGAAAAGTTGAGGAAGAACAAGAAGAATAGATTTTCCATCTGAGAGCGGTATTGTATGCGCAGGGATCGCCAATGCCTAAGAATCCGTTGTACGATCGCCACCAAGTATAGGGTTGCGAAGGATCAGCCTGAAGAGTTTATCAGTTGGGTCATCAAGATATATGTAGGTGGGTCCAAAAAGCAAAGGCATAAATTCCCTGCCCATGATCGTCCTTCTACTCCCCTATAAGTTGTGGAGTTCGAGACCAGCGGCTAAGATAGTCCACTAGAAGAAGTGAAGCTAATAAGGGAGGTTGCCATGGAAGAAGTGAATGTCGAGTCAAGGGGAGATCGCCAGAATACGCTGGAGGTGGATCGCCATGGTTTCTTTCTACCATGATGGTGAGCAGGCATTGAAAGGGAAGATCGAACAAGTGGTTCGGGCTATACAAGTTTGTTTGTTGAGCCTCAACGAGTGTGTCTAAAACCATACCTACACATGATGCATAGTTTTAATTGTTGTGAACTCTACAACTATCTTTATTATAAAGAGAGGTGTTTATTTAATTACTTAACCATTTGAATCCCACAATCACTATTTAATAGGGGTATTCACGATCCAGTTTTAACCAAAAAAACCGTCAATCCAGACCGCGGATCGGTTAAATGGTCTGTTAAAAAAGCCTTAAAAAATTTGGCGATTAATTTTTTAAAAAAATCTAGAATAACCGGTACGGTTAATGGATTACCTGCAGTAAACCGCCGGTTTAACTGGACCAGACCGATAAATATTAAAAAACTATAACAAATATTTACATATATATATATACACATTCAGTCATTCACTATGACCGACAATTACAATACATTCACTTTCACTTTGCTCTTATTATTTCAGGTGTATAAACTGACTGAAAAATAAATGCTTGCTTGGGTTCAGTTTGCATAATTTGATCTTCATCATTTTTGTATTTTTATGTTTATGAGACGAAATGTGTATTTTTATGCTTATGTCACGAATTGTGTATTTTTTATTTCATTATTGTTGTTTTTCTTAATTTTTAGGCCCAAGTAATCTCATTTGGGCCCAAAATTGAAAAATGAAAATTAAGCCCAAAATAAAAAAAAATAAAAATAAAAATTGAAGGCTCAAAACAAGAATTTTGGATTTAATCGGTTAACCGCCAAACCGGACCGTCCAATGCGGTCCGGATTGTGGCCGGTTAAAAAATAAAATCGGTCCGGTTATGGACAAGAAAAAAATTAACCGTTAGATCCAATTTGGTCATGGTTTAGGCTAAAACCGAACCAGTTGAACCGTGAACACCCCTACTATTTAATACTCATTGAAATGATTAACTTTAATCATTTATTCCACTTGTGAAGTAATACATTTCCAACACAGAATCATAACACACACACACACATAAAACAACCTACCATTGAGTGAAAAGCACAACCCAATCGCTTATAGGCATCAGTTCATTTAACAGATACTATACTTAGATCGGACCATTAAGGCTATGTTTGGTAAAATTAGCTGATAAGCTAGCTTATAGCTTATCAGTAACTTTTTTAGTTTATAACTTATAGCAAATCACTTATAGCTGATAAGCTAGCTTATATGATAAAAGTGTTTGGTAAACTTAGCTGATAAGCTAGTTGGAATACAAAATTCAAATAGCTTATTTGAAAAGCTACCTAAGGAAGCTTATCAAATAAGCTCGAGCTTTTTGTCCTACCAAACGAGACTTATTTGAATATAGAGAGCTTATAAGCTAAACAAATACGCTATAAGCTATCTTATTTGTCTACCAAACATAGACTAAGAAACCAACATAGAGCGTCAATCATATTTTGGTGGCAACCATAAGGCAGCACAAACTGTAAACAGTGTTGGAGCCACTCCAAAGGCTAGGTTGGGCTCCAACTCGATTATACTACGTAAAAAAATATTTTTTTTATGGTAGCCAACCACGGTATTCGGAGTTATGCCCCGAGTAATCCGTTGGTCAACTCGGGTATCAAGCTGCGTACCACTTGAGTCAACCCTTGTTGGTTAAAAAAGGGAAAATTTCAAAACTAGTCCCACATGTATAGGGGGTGACATTTTTGGTCCCAACGGAATTCAAAAAATATCAATAGTCCCGCAGCTTTTGAAAAATAATCAAAAGTAGGACTTTTTTCAATTTTTCGGTCCAGAATGCCACGTGGCACACACGTGGCGGGACTATTTAAGATTTTATGGATTCTTTTGGAACCAAAAATGTCACCTCCCAAAACCTGTGGGACTAGTTTGATTTTTTTTCATTGTCATTGTACTCAGCCACGTCAGATGAATGTGGCCACGTGGCATTCCGGGCCGGAAAATAGAAAAAAATCCTACTTTTGATCATTTTTTAAAAGCTGCGGGACTATTAATATTTTTCGGATTCCGTTGGGACAAAAAATGTCACCCCCTATACCTGTGGGACTAATTTTGAATTTTTCCCGTTAAAAAATATTTTAATTCATCTTATATTAATGTACCCATGTGTTAGTTTTATTTTATATTAAATCAATAAATTATATGATTTTATGTGATGTAAGTTTATTTCCACATTTTTAGCGCATGACGTCATTTTCCTCTTTTTTTTTTTAATTTTTTATTTTTTTTAACTAAATATATTTCAATTGAATAATTTCATTTGATATTGTACTTGATTGTGTTACACTTTCATTACAATGCTTAGTATGTAATTGAATATATAGATTTCACAATTTAAATTATAAATTAACTGAAATTTCAAATAAATGATATTTGAGTATATGAAATTTACTACTAAATCGTATTTTTTTGGTGACACATTCAATGAAATGATATATGATTATTATATGACAAGTCATATATGACAATAATATCGAGACTATTACACTGTCTCATAGTAGTCATTTTTAAGAACTATGATTTTTTTCTAATCAAATTAAGTGTATGAGAAAATTTATATTTAATTTTGTAAAGAAAAAATAATAAACCAGTTTAAAACAAACATTTGTATTATGTATAAAAGAATAGTTAATAATTCATATTTTTTTTTGTTAAAGGAAGGTCATCTTCATATAAATACGAATAGAAAGTATATAGTAATTGATATTTGTATTTTACAAATGAACGATTCACATTTTAAAATAATTTATTGTGTGATTTTTTGTAATTTATATTAAATATTAAAAAATTATTTTTATATGATGACTTCTTTATACGTGCGTTGAGCTAGATTATTCGAGTCGGTTACTTCATATTTGAACTCTTGTTCATTTAATAAACAAGTTGGCGTGGATCAGCTCGTTTAGTATACATAAATATATGTGAGCTAGTTTAACTCGTTTAATAAATCTTCAAAACCCAAGCCAAAACCTAAAACGCTAACCAAGTTGTTCGCTAACACACTCAACTCGGCTTGTTTGATAAACATACTCAATTAGTTGTTCGAGTTTGGCTCGTTTAAATATACGATGACTCCATCTCAATCTTTCATACGTCAGATCAAATTATATTAGTAGAAAACTTGGTTCCACTAATAAATTATATATAAATATTCTGCACCCGGTGATTTTTTTTTTTGGGAGTGAAACTATACTACATAATTAAATTGTGTGTACGGATTTTTTTTTTATTTTTTTTTATTTTTTTGTCTTTTAGTACCAACTGATCTCATATCTCATGTGATGTGCCAAGTGATCTCATTTCACCGCAGCATAAAATTCTCACCCCCAATGTAACCCGAAAAAAAAAGGAAAAAAAAAAAAAAAAAAAGAAACACCAAATATACTATATATTTGCAAAATAATTTATAAGATATCAATTGTGATTTAAATAAAACATTTTAATTTGGCAGACACAAACTTATATATTTTTTATGCCAAAAGGCATAAACTAAGAAATGAAAAATACCCAAGAGCGCTTGGATGAGATGGTTTGAGTCTCTTTCAGCTTAACTAGTGGTCTTGAGTTCAAGCCCTGGGAATGCAGCAGTGTTAAAACTCTTGAGGGAGAGCTTTGCTGCCCTTGTGGTCCTACCCGGCTCGATTCTGGATTAGTCGGTTCCCATGTGGATCCAAAAACCGGAAGGTTCATGTACCAAAAAGAAATGAAAAATTATTATTTCTACCGTCTGCAAAACAAATGAAAAGAAAAAAAAAATCTAAAAATTAAAATAATAATAATAATAATAAACCGTCCATTCTAATGCCAATAATCAGTGGTGGAGCATGTTGTACATGAGTTATCATAACTTTTTAGGGCATTTATGTTCTGCATTGAAATTGCGACTCAGAGTTTCCAATCATTTTTATCAACCCTCTCACCGTATCAAGTAAATAGTCCACTCAACGGGAGAGGGTTTTGGTTGGCGTGGGCTTCCTGGGGTTGGTATGTTTTGGACTGGAAGTAGTTAGCTTTCGTCTGAAAGGAGTTTCTAGATTTCTGTTCTGGGTTGAGCTCCGGGCAGGTGGGGAGGGCCGTATTCTATGTATTAGGTTGTATTTTGTTTTTCCTTGTTTGTGTGTTATATTTGCGTGTGCTATGTTATTTTCTGTATTTTCTTTGGGTTTATTCTCCTGTTGTGAGTCTGCATTCTCCTTTTGAGAGTAGTATTATTGTCGTGTGTGCGTTCGTGGTAGTTTAGGCTCCCCTAATCCTTTCTCCCATTAGATTCAACGGGAAAAA